GCTAACAGACAAACAAACGCTTTCTCTTTAGGTAACAGTGAGATTAACGAAAGGAATTGAGTTCTAGTTTAGACTATTTGTCTTAAATAAAGAATAATGTAGGCATGTGAATTTCGCAGAAACGGAAAGGAGAAGTCTCACCATAATCGGCTATTGTCACGCTCAGTCCCAACGAATTCAATTTCAAAGAATCACTTTGTACGCAGCGAGACGCGTTTCCTGCTCCCCCCTTGCACCACTCTCTTTAGCATTATGAGCACGAGCAGGCGCCACAAAGCTACGATTATGCGTTGCCATTAGACCGGTCGATTGATTACGGGATCGTGAAAAAAAAAGAAGGAAAGCAAGGACAATGTCGCGATGGGCGGTTGCCAACTGGTCCCGCTGGGATCATTTTATTGGCCGTGCTTCAAGTAGGAGGGTTACTGGCTTCTTACTTCTTACGCGTTCTCTTTCTCTCTCCTGCGCCTTCTCTTTTCGACCCCTAACTGACGGCCTTGTGCCATCGTTCTCTGATTCGAACCCCTTTTGGTCCAGGTCTACGTATGTACATTAGCATAGCTCAAACGTCACGACGAATTTTGTTTGCGTCGATCAATTCAATCTCTTGCTATTAATAATATATAAATATATAATAATTAATATGTAATAATTCTTCAACTTATATTAACAAATATGTAATAATTCTTCAACTTATATTTGATACGCTCAAAACGTGCTAAACAAAGGATTCAAAGGCAGTCTCTAAACATTTCTGCCTCTCGGTATCTAAATTTTCTTTAATAAATTATAAATTTATCATTGGAGACGTAGAGAGGAAAGACGTCCATTTGTAATCTTCAATTATACAATCGAATTTGGTGCTGGAAGACATAGACGCATGGTGAAATATCTTTGATAAATCTATCGAGAAAATCGACTACTCTCCAACGCGGCCGTCTACGAAGGAGCCGGTATTTCGCGGCGTGCATTTCGGCCATATGGTGATTATCCGCAGTTATTTATAGTGATCGTGGCAGAGGCGCGTTCCGAGCGCGGCTCGTGGAAACGGAACGCGTTTTTGCGGCGAATTGGACCGAGCCTAAAATTCTACGAGCGCGGCGAACGGTTTAACGCCGTAGATCGGTCTCATAAATCGAGGCCCCGGTCTTTGGGGCGGTGTACCTACACGCACCTCTGCTCCGGTGCAACGCCTGGAGCCACGAACCGCGAAGTGCAACGGAGAAACAGAGACGCGTACGCGAGTTGGTAGGGGAAAGACGGAACGTAGGCAAGTTAGAGTCTAGCAGACTCTAGCTAGAGTGTAGCGGCTAACTGCCGGCCAGGCCAGAGGCGCACGGTTGTTTCTAAACCCGCCTTATCTACTAGCCCCTATAATAAGCTGCGATCCGAGACCGTATATCCCCAGCCAACCACGTATACGTACACACCCGTGTACACATGTACATCTAGATGGCTGAGGAAGAAGCCAGTCGAGCGTGTAGAACGTTCTCTAAGTGTGCACGTAGACGAAGAGAGCGTCGGACAGTCCAGAAGGAAGGAGCTGCCCGCAATTCCCGATGTTGTAGGCCACGGAGCGCTTGCAATTACAAGCTGGTCAACATATAATTATCCCCAATGACCATAAATTACCGGATTTTTATGCGCAACATTCTTAATTACCCTTTGAATTAACATCAATCAACCCCCTTAATTGTACGCTGCTGCTGCCGGCGTCGGTGACGTTGCCGTCTCTCTTTATCCTCCGCTCTTCTGGTCATCTTCCTCTGTCTGCTCCACCTCCTTCTTCTGCTTGTTGGTTACTTTTTACTCTTCTTTGTTCAAGCCCTCTCCCATAAGTACAATAATAATGCGAAAACGTGATAGGTAGAATCCAGGAACGAATTGACAGTTGCAGGTGAAAGGGGGCGAAAAGGGAAAGACACGACGAAATCGCTCACCCCGCCTTGTAGGGGGAGTGCTTTTTTTTCACCGCTTAAACATCTCTGATCGTTGAATAGGAGAACGAAGGTGGGAGGGAGGGAGATTTGCGATGGTTTTCTGACGGCTCGTCGCATAATGCACGCGTTTTAATTGGCTCCGTAGACACTCGACCGATTCTCGTATCAATGGCACCGATGTTTTAATTGCGTATTCGATTACGCGGACTTTCACCGTCGCTGATCCCGTCAGCAATTATCGCTCGAGGAGTCGTGCTAGGATGCACCCGGTGAAAGCGTACCTACCTGCTGCCCAATCGAGAAAATCGTGGCTATCCTTTTCCTGAGAAAATTGTCCGATCCGTGATCGACTTCCGTTTTCTGAATGGACACATTCTGTAATCGCATTTGAAGAATCCGATCAACCTTACAAAATGTTATTCACTATATTACAATGAGTAAATTAGTCTGACGTGCTGCATAAAAATTGTTTGTCTTCCTTTTAATGAGAGCAGAAAATCACATAGTAAAATCATATCTATTTTATTAATTCATATCAGAAGCAAGAGGATTCAATTTTATTCCACACCCAAAACGAAATGAGAAGTAAAAATAGAAATGTAAGAAGTTGTGTAGAGTTGTAATTGTTCTCTCATTCTGCGACTATTCTCCTTTTCGTTTCATATATCATACGATCGAGGGAGCAATGGCGATACACTAATGAAACCGCGCTCTCATTAAACCATCCAAATCGACGATACTAATTGGCCTAGCTTTCGGAATAGCCAGCATTATACATACCTCAGGATGCGTTATAATAATCGTTGCGGACGAATTCGAAGTCCGGGATCGGACAGCTGGTGGTTAAAGCGCCTAGTAATTTTACGGACGCAACCCTGCAGCGATTAATACGATTCCAGTGGAAATTAACGACCGCAAACGGAAAAAAGAGAGGCTCGTTCGTGGCTTGACTGACCGCGCGATCGTTGACAAGCGATTCTTCGAGGAACGAGGGGATTGCTTAACAACGTTGAGCAACATACTTTGCTTCAAACTTCATTTTCTAATAACGAGGCAAGAGATTACAGTGATTTTACTCATGACAACAAGTAGGACTGTAACAATCTTGGAATTAAATGTTTTATGTTCTGTTTGCGCCAGACGATTTAGATATTCAATTTGACTAGACAAATGGAAGATGTTCAATGTTTGAATAGGGAATTCGGTAGCTGTCAGTTGTTACGATTTTCGTTTCTTATGGAGCTTCTATCTTCACGGTAGGACGACACAGAATGGACCTTTATTGCGTTGTTCACAGCGCGACGTTGTCGACGATGATTTTTTTTAAAAACCACCGCCGAGAAATATTTACACGGTGCTGCCATTATAAAACGCCTTTTATGAGAAACAAAGTAGCTGGCAGGCACAAGCTGCGCCCTTTGACAATAATTTGTCCAGAATAACCGGCTCCCTACCGTCGCTCCTCTCCTTTCCTCTGGTCTCGTTCTCTCTCTTTCCATTTTTCCCTTCTAGCCCGCTTCCGCTTGATCATCCATCCAGCCGTTCGTCATAGGCTCATGGCTTTTAAAAAAGTAAAGCGCTGGACTCGGGCCAGCGCAAAAATAGAAGCAGATGTTGTTAGTTGCGTTCAGCAAGTACAGGGCCAAACCGCTGCGCGCAGCTTCGACTTCGGTTTCGACTACAACGATCACGACGGATCCCGCGAGTTTTTGCCTTCGGGGACAGGTCGAGAAAAGGAAGAACAAAGTGGAAGAGGGAAGGAGAGGTAGATCCAAGCTTACCTCTTTGGCCCCGTTTGATTAAAGCAGCGGTTTGATTTCGTTGCCCTTGAATTCTTATTAACGGACCTGTTAGATAAAAATAATTATCCAAATAAATGTGGGATGTCGGTGGACGGCGCAGCGTATTATTTCATTCTCGCGAGCCATCGTTCTGGTTCTCCTCTGTCTTCTTCTTCGCTCTCGCCCGTTCCCGATGCAATCGACCAAATGTTTTTGCTTTGAAGTTGGAAGATAAACGGGGGAACCTCCTTCTAATTTCCACTCTGCATTCTTAACAGCTGCGCGCAGCACTTTCTGATACGGATGGCAACGGGAGTCCCGCGTTTAATTAGTATTGTGTTTATGCGTGTCGTCCTACGTCCTTTCCCCTTTTCTACAATTTCGACGCGCGGCCGATCGTTCCGACGTCTTTTTATTCGTGATTTCGAACTAAGTATAGTGCAACGTTAGTATGTTTCATTGAATGTTATTAAAAGTGACCTAATCGTTAGTAAATATAAATAACTCGGCAAAAATATTTTCGTGCTTAGAATATAAATCGACATGACGCAGAAGACAAATGGGACTTACGCTACTTCATAATTTATATAACGTCTAATTGATACATTATTAAACTGGTCGTGAGTATTAAGAAACGAAAATGTGAAACGTATGTAAACGGGTTTCTGTGCGAGTTTTCCAATATATGTATTTTACCATTGGAAATAAGATTAAAATATTATTCAATAAGCCTTTTACAAATGACAGGGTGATAAGGTAAAATACGAAGCACATTTTAAAGGATACGTTTTTAGCATATTAAATGAATAAAGTATCTTGTTCAACATTCTCTTGTACGATCCATCAAAGTAGCTTTACATCCCTAATAACATGTCTTTTCATGACTGTTCATAAATTAATCTTGCAATATAAAAACAATGCGTATTCATTTTGTTAATTTTGTTGTTATCTGTTCATTAAAGAATTATGTAATACATTACTCATCGATATAGTCTATTGATAGCTGGAGAAGTTATCCAAAGTTTCACTTATTACAGTAACAAATCCTACACGCTCTATATAGGGGCAAACTTTCATTTAACATATTAATTCTATAATTGTGTTATACATTTCGCCTGTCATCGTATATCGAGGCGCACAAATGATATTCCCGGCATTATGGGATTGCCAACGGGACGGCACGGCACGGGATGGATCGAGGAAGGGAGAGGGGGATGAACCGGGACTGGGCGATTTCAACTATTAGATCGGTCCTCAGAGAGTTTTGGTCGATTTGCAGATTACGAGTCCCCGGGATGCAAGGCTGACATGGCAGAGGGTTCAGCCGAGGAGGAACAGAGCAGTACCGCTGCGCCCGCTTCCCCGCCAGCTGATCTTCGCACTCTGAACACCCAATTGTCGCCGCCTTATCACCACCAGTCCCATCTCCAGCCTCGTCTTCAGCATCTGCAGCATCCCAACATGTTGGCGACCGCGGTGCCGCCTAGGCACAGCCACAGCATGCTGTCTGATCAGGTGAAAACGGAAGCTGAGTTGGACGCGCCATGCGATGTGCCATTGAATCTGAAGAGCGAGGTAAGTCCTCAATATCTATCTCTCTCTCGCTTTATCTGGGCTACTATATGGTATGCACTACGTGTTGCTGTACAAATTAATGTGACGTGATCGATTATCGAAATCATTCTACCAAGCGAGAGCACCCGATTCGTGAATCACACGCGGTGTTAGCTAAAATTAGATCGAATGATTGAGGCGCGGGTTTTCGACGCTCGCCTATGTGGAAACCGTTCGATGAGCGGTTCTGGATTTCTGGAGAAACTTTTTGTTGACATCCCGAGTTGATTAATCGCGGATCTCATTGCTGGAGGGAAGCTACAATCAGAGTGATAATTCAGTGAAATTTAGGGTTTCAGAGTTCTGTCCCGGGAATACTTATAATAATTAGGGGTTATCGAGCAGAGGTTTCGAGTGTGATTTATATCGCTGTGATTACATGATTATATAATCTCGAAACATTATTCCTAGAATTTTCAGTCAGAAGTTAACAATTTCAGAACTCGCGATTTGGAATTCAAATTAAGAATATGAAATTAAGGATCGTGATATATAACGGTGTGGATTATACATACATATAGATTAATAAACTTGATTAAGTTCAGTATGTAAAATAAAATCATCGTTTAGTTATGGTTTGTTTAAGGAATTCTGAGTTTGACAGTTTTAAATTTCTGAATCGGATTTATTTCGATTAGAAGTGAGTAGACTTTCTGTGTAGTATTCCCGGGCTTATATTGCCCTAAATAAGACAGTCCCTATGTCAAAACGATCGTTGTTAGTAACGGTTTAGTGTGTCAATGACAGCCAATTGTCTGCTTAAGTAGCCGCCGCGCCGCGTCTCAACCTAAATCGGCCAATGGTCTCTCTGACCTGTATACGATTAACGTACAAAACAAAGCGTATCGAACGACTTCCATGTGGACTACGCACGAGGTCAATGCACCAAATGATCTTTCCTTCGGAAAGATTGCTCAACTGCGTGATTATTACTGTCACAACGTATATCTATTTAAATTAAACCGTATCCTCTAAAGGAATGCACTTACACATTTATAGCGTCGCAGGAATGTGAATTATAGATCATAGGAGTCTCACCAAACGGTACACAGAGACAATCTCATTTTTATAATACTTCATTAATCAATTATGTAAATTTACTGATACACAGACTGAAATTTTTAAAATATACTCGTAATCTTGCACTCTGAATTGACAAGAACAATTTAAGCGTGAGAAGGGGAACACGACTTCCACGATTTTTCCTAATTGGTTACGCAATCGGGCAAAGCCGTTGATCGCGCGGCTCGATGTTTCGACTAGTCTCCGTGTGATAGATCACGCGATTTTAGCCAAAGCTACATACTTTCTACGTCTGGTATCAGCGTTCGTTCGAGAGAAAAAGACAAAGGCGTTATCAAGCGGCGTTGCACGTAAACCGAGCGCCAATCTAATCTCCATACATGGCAGGGACCACGAGCATTCGAGCGTTACGTCGGGCTGGCTCGCGTTATTACCAGAAAACCGTCAGGAAAGGTTGCTCCCGTTAGCGATATCGTTCCGGCCGTGGGAAAATCGTAACGGATATTATAGAATGTCAAAGTTTGTAACGAGGCTACCGCGGCATACCACGGCGCGCGACTTCTCTATGCGCGTAATACACGACATTTGCCTAAGTAGGTATGTAACCATTGGAAAGACTTCCGCGTTCCACGGTACGTACGGAGTAAAGTCTAGCCGCGAGTTTCCAAGCCCGCCCCTCCATCGGTACGGCTGCGTCGATCATTTATCAGGCTGTAATCTGTATTAGAAGATCAACACGCGGCCCCGCGATCACAATCTCTCCTCGTTAACCGACTTCTCGCTCGGGGATCTTGTTTAATCTTATTTACCGGCGGATCGCGTAATTGTTTATTATAATTCGCGTAAGGGGCGTAGGGGGAAAAAGCGGGTGGGTCGCCGGCTCGGGTAAATTGTATACGCGCATACGTACGTGTGGGTAGCGTTGCATGATCACGAACTACTGCGCTAGATGTTATTTTGGCCTACGTGGAACGAAGTTGCGTGCAACGCGCGAAATTAGTATTTATGGGAAGTCCGTTAACGAGCCGTTTTGTTCGAATCGTGGGCGAGGAATTACTTGGCAGCTTGATTTTCAGAAGAAGCCTGCGGTGTAATTTGTATTTATGACTAAATTCGAATCGGCTTGACGCTAAAATTAGTTTGGATCTTGCGCCAACTTCCGTGAAACAATCGTTCCGTTTCGATATCGAAACAGTCTTCCGCGTTAACGCGGTCAATGTGATATTGGAAAGGTTGCTCCCGTTAGCGATATCGTTCCGGCCGTGGGAAAATCGTAACGGATATTATAGAATGTCAAAGTTTGTAACGAGGCTACCGCGGCATACCACGGCGCGCGACTTCTCTATGCGCGTAATACACGACATTTGCCTAAGTAGGTATGTAACCATTGGAAAGACTTCCGCGTTCCACGGTACGTACGGAGTAAAGTCTAGCCGCGAGTTTCCAAGCCCGCCCCTCCATCGGTACGGCTGCGTCGATCATTTATCAGGCTGTAATCTGTATTAGAAGATCAACACGCGGCCCCGCGATCACAATCTCTCCTCGTTAACCGACTTCTCGCTCGGGGATCTTGTTTAATCTTATTTACCGGCGGATCGCGTAATTGTTTATTATAATTCGCGTAAGGGGCGTAGGGGGAAAAAGCGGGTGGGTCGCCGGCTCGGGTAAATTGTATACGCGCATACGTACGTGTGGGTAGCGTTGCATGATCACGAACTACTGCGCTAGATGTTATTTTGGCCTACGTGGAACGAAGTTGCGTGCAACGCGCGAAATTAGTATTTATGGGAAGTCCGTTAACGAGCCGTTTTGTTCGAATCGTGGGCGAGGAATTACTTGGCAGCTTGATTTTCAGAAGAAGCCTGCGGTGTAATTTGTATTTATGACTAAATTCGAATCGGCTTGACGCTAAAATTAGTTTGGATCTTGCGCCAACTTCCGTGAAACAATCGTTCCGTTTCGATATCGAAACAGTCTTCCGCGTTAACGCGGTCAATGTGATATTATTCTTGTATGACTGTTGAATTCTCTTAAAAATCTGATTTACAAATTACCAAATTAATATGAGATCAATATTGTGAACTTGAAATTGTTCATTGACCAATTTTAAATTACTAAATAAGATAAAGAACATGCAAGACACGCTGAATAACGTCTAAGTAAATCAATACATAATTCTACGTATTAAGTATGAAAAAAGACAACTTTATCTCCTATAAAACAGTAAGAACCGTGTGTCTCTGTTGTAAAAGATCGACATTGGTGCCACACCGATGTAATTCTAATCGTGGTCGCATTCACGCGGGGTGTATTATTAAAGTTCGACAAAAGAGCGCTTCTTTTTCCGCGGGCAGCCGTAGCCGGTTGATTCGCGACATCATAGAGAGCTGGACAATTCGTCCGTTCCACAATGCACAACAATGATGCCAATTAGCCAACAAAAGAGAATAATAGTATACTAGAGAAGAGAGGAGAGCGAGGAGAGGCAGACGCGGAGGCAGCGAGCCTCGAGACTAGAGTCTCGAAAACAGCAGTCTCATCCGTTCGTTCTCGCTGTCCCTGGTTCATCCATTACACTATTATCCCCTCGACAAACATCCAGGATCCATCCGTGGACACTCTCCACGTATGGACTTAATGCCTGGCTCGCTTCGGCTCCGCTCGGCTCGGCTTCGGTGTCTGAGGAAGGAGAAGCATGCAATTTACGCGCAAAAGAAACTAGGATGTGTTTCATAGCGGCGCGCTGGCAAAAAGAAACGCATCCCTCTCGCTGCTTAACAGGGTACAGCATACATAATAATGTCGCCGGCATGCGTTTCCGCCGGTAGTAGTGGTGGTGCCGGTAACGGTGGTGGTGCGTGGGTGAAATATGAAAAGAGCCCTGGCGAAAAATTGCGATCGTCCGTCCACCGCGCCGCGCCGGCTGCGATCTTCTTATTTATCGGTATTAACATGTCAAAGATACGCTTAGGGTCCGTCCTTCGTTTTTTTGCGGCCTTCCCGTTCTGGAGGAAGCTCAGCTTTACTTTCTCCTTTTCCTCGTTTTTCCTCTCGCCACTTCGGAATTTTTATTACCGTGCGTTGAATTCAGCGAATAATCATTTGCATGGGGAAAGTGCCGAGATGAAAGAGTACAATTTTTCTTCGCGAGTGCAACGCTTATTTTTAGTTATTGAAACAAAGATTTCAAACATATAAAAATGTTGCTTAATATTAAACATTCCAAAACTTTACAAAAACGTGTTCAATTCTATTTAAAATATAAGCATGCAAATAATATATTTTCTTTCTTTTTATTTTAAACTAAAAATTATAAAAATCTTCGCAAGTTAATTCGCATAGAACAGTAATTCTGTCGGATGACTAATAACGAATTATTGGGTGTTCGAGATTTCTCAATGCCGTTAGTCGATCTTCTCTTGATTGTAGAATATTTTCTTCTTGCGAGAATAATGGATAATTCAGTAACGCTAATAAGACGCAGTCCTTCAAGGATTTTCGTTAAGACGCGCGAGGCCGTTCGTGACTAAACGAGCCTGAGAAGGGGAACTCACGAATGTACGTCTATGATCATCGACAATTAGGTAGCATAAGAACTCGGCGAGAAGTAGTGATCACAGCATTTGATAGATCGTATTCACTGCTATCGGTCATAGTTCTCTCATGGTCGTAATGGCGTCGTGTCTCTTCTTATTGTATTCTCGTCGATGAAACATTGTGCTCAATTCCATCGTTATTGAATCTACACGATGGAGAATCGTGCTTACAATCATACATTTGTTTAAGAGAATATAACGAAAGAAATGCAATAATGCAAGTGATTATTGTTTTCCTTATAAAATGTTTTGTATTTATTATCACAAAATTATAATATTATGTTTTTTCAACTGTCTTCTGATAAAGGATGAAAAGCTATAATTAATCTATTATCAAGAAAC